CACAAAATTCCCAACTTTCGATTTGATTTTGAGTTATCAAAATGATGATGATGATATCGAAACGACGCCGTTTTGCGGTATGCGTCCCGTTTCTTCTTTGTGAGGCCATAACAGAGTACAGAGATCCACAAATTGAGCCCAAAAAGGAAAAGGTTGCCTTTTTTTTTTTCTTTCAGAGGAAAACAAAACAAGGGCTAGGCTCAAATGTCTATGGCGGCCAAACTTCACGGCGGCGACATGGCGATCCGTCTTCCTTTTCCGATGACGCAACGGCGTCTTTCAACTCTTCCGAGCATTGTCTCTTCCCCTCCACGGAGGCACATCGTCGCGATGTCGGCCAAGAGAAGCCCTAAGCGTCTCAAATACTCTACTCCTCGCTTCACTAAGGTCTTGTTAGGCATTCTTCCTCTTTCACCGATTTTAAGATGTATAATAATTGTGATTCTAATCAGTTCGATTGTATAAACAGGAGGGTGAATTTCTGTCTATAGAGGTTGATCCTTCGGGTGTTGATGCGTGGAAACTGGAACCTGTTATTGAGCTTCTCAAGCAAGGAGCTGTTGGTGTTATTCCCACTGATACAGTGTTAGCTTTCTTCTGATTGATTGATTCACATTTACATGCTCTATGCATCTTTTCACGATCTCCATTCTTCTGTAGATATGCAATAGCCTGTGATTGTAAAAACCATTCAGCTGTAGAGCGCCTCCGAAGGTAAACTCCACTGTCTTGTCTTGTATTGTCTATCATAGGCATTCACCACCAATCATCCTCTTAGCTGACACACACAAACCTGTGCCTTTGTTGTTGTCTTTGTAGGATTAAAAAGATTGAATCATCCAAGGTAAGAGCCTTGCCCGCTCTCTGGCATATATATTAAATCACTGGTTCTGGTTGGGATATTGGGGTGTTTATGGTTATCTCTTATTCTTGTTTGGTTTGGGATGGCAACTTATGCAGCCACTTAGCATCTTATGCCGTTCCTTCCGGGACATTGACACATATACAATGGGCTTTCCTC